CCGTGAAGAGGAGGATGCCCTCGACGAGGATCACGCGGCGGGGCACCATGGTCTGCGTGTCGGCGCAGCGCGAGTGCGTCGCAAAGTCGTACATGGGCACTTCGACGGTGACGCCGTCGCGGAGCGCTTCCAAGTGGCGCACCAAGAGCGACGTCTCGAGCGAATCCGGGTGGTCAAAGTTGTGCTACGCCATCGATTGAGCACCTTGAGAAGAGGGGGATCATTGTGCCTACCTGGGCACGCTGCTCGAGGGTCCGGTTCGAGATGTCACGGTAGTAGTAGTCGTGCGATAAATACGAGACGTTGGCCTCCCCAATCTCTTCAATGATCGCGCGCGACAACGTCGTCTTGCCCGAGCCCGTGCCACCGCAGACGCCAATGACGAGGATGTCATTGGGCCCGACCGACCCACGACGCGAAATCTTGATGTGCTCCGGCTCCGTGTACACCATTTGCGTGTCCGTAATGTCCGACTGGGCGCGCGCCGCGGACGGCTTGCGCGGGGCTTTGGGCGGCTTGGCGGTCATCGACTTGCGCTGCTTCATAGCATACAGCGCCGCGGCGACGAGGCAGCCAAGCACGGCGACTTGGAAAACATGACGGCTCTGGGCACCCATCGATCGCGTTGGTGGCTCAAGATACAATGGGCAATAAACCAATCGTCGCCGTTTTAACCGGACCGTGAACGACTGGAACAAATAGGTTTGCCCAAAGCGAGGGCGTGGGCGCGTTGCATACTTACACCAAGTGCAATGTCAGCCCTCGCGAGATGGCGAATTGGCCCGACGCGCCACGACCAACAACCATGCTTGCATCACGTGATGCACCTTTTGGTTGTACGCATTTGGATTGGCCTGAATGCAAGATACGCGGATCATATGTTTTGTATACTATAATACAAACAAGTGTAAGAAAGGCCAGACTCGTCGCCGCGACATATAAAAGCGATTGGATTCGTGGGCAACGCGACATTACGTTTACAGGACGTGATGTAGCTTGTCGCGCGAATAGAAAGGACATCCTTGACCCGTTGAAGCGTGGCGTGGGGCAAACTGTATCCTCGCCCGGCGAGCCATGCACGCAGTGTCTCGACTCGCTTGTGAGAGGCCGAGTCGAGATACCAACTTGCAGAATTACGTCGTTTCCCATCCAATAGCAGTGGCAGGCTTTGGCTATTACCTCGCCATGATGTCTAAAGTGTTGCCGTCGATGGTATACTCGCACGCCTTGACGCTGGCCTAGTGCACCTTGAAGTCGGTAGCGACGGCGCTCGGTTATGCTGCGTGGCTATGTTGATGCGCATCTGGGAGTGCGGACCTCACGCGAAAGGTAGCGCGTCGGACGATGTACACGTGTATCGTCGTGTGCAGCTTTACAGTGCTGCGTTTGTTGGCTGCAGTTGTGGCTGCTCGAAGCATGGGACGTACTAGTATTACCGACTCGATCAACGCTGTTATCTTGAAGCTGATACTGCCAAGAAACCTGGTTCGGCTACCTCTTTCTCGATCCAAGGGCCTGTCTGGGAATAGGGAAAAAGTTGGTAAAGAAGAGGCTGCGTCGCGATCACCCCCGACGCCACCGGGGTGTACACCGGTGTATGTGTACATCGTCCACATACGACAATAATGTCTCCCTATTATTGTCATGTATTTTGGTCGTCTTAACTCCAGGGACTAATAGAACAATTCCCTTTTTTAAATAGTCTGCAAAGCGCTT